CCCCCCCCCGAATCATCGGTGAGCGAAACTGCGGCAGCTACAATCACTGTACGACGAGTACGCGGTTCTTACAGCTGACAATGATGTGGTGGGTGATTTTAGTTACTAGTTTCAAGCAAGACTCCTCAAGAAAATGCTAGCACCTATTGTTCTGTCAGTGACTACAAGCCTCCTGTCACTAACAGCTGACAATGATGATGATGGTGATTTTAGTTACTAGTTTCAAGCAAGACTCCTCAAGAAAATGCTAGCACCTATTGTTCTGTCAGTGACTACAAGCCTATATCCTGTCACTAATTTGTAGCTCAGACTTCAGCGGAAATCTCGACCTCGGAGCATTAATGAAGCCGTCAGTTTCGCTTTATTTTCATCACTTCAGTGCTCATATCCACACCACTCGTCTTCCTTATATTTCTGACCTTTTGATTCTAGCCTTCTTCAGCAAGATCTCGTTTTCAGAAGTGTAAGGTGAATTCGAACCATGGTGTGCCATACGCGTTCGTATTTTCTCCAACATTTCTCCATCCGGCTTGATCCAGCGAAGCCTCCAATACTCACTGGGTTCCTAATTAAGGCGATATCCGAAGAAATGGCGTCCGAATAACTCAAAGCATCGTCACCATTGACAGCAATACACCAGAAATACACAATGGGGTTTGACTGTCATACCACCATCAGGGCGGGCAGTCTTGAAGGGTAGATTGAAAGGTGAGTGCTAGGGAGCATCAAACTAAACATGTCTGTGAGTCATGTCGAATCAAGGGGGATCGACCCAACAACCAGACATATGCCCAGTGCACAACGGAAGGCGAACTTTAGCTAAACACTCCGACTAGTAAATGACATTTTGCACTCCACGGGGGCGATTAAACCACCTTGGTTTGTATACAAAGGTTGAAACATGGGAGCATCCCCGATATCCAATTCAGGGTACTTTGCGTAGGCCACTAATTGTTAAGCTATAGAACGATGTTGCCCGCATAATCCAAGGCCACTAATCTCTCTTCAGACCTGACTTCGATACCGAGATTCATGGCCTATTGCGGTGTGCACTTCACGATGACGTTGGGGACAAAATTGAACAAAAAAGGAGAGTGGGAGCAACCTTGACGAACTCCACTTGTTGCTTGGATACTTCTGGACGACACATTGTATGCCATAATCCGACCGGCGTAATGGCCGGAGCTTTCCGGCCATGATGTGTCAGTCTGCACAGTGTTTTCCTTTGTTTCCACAACTCTTGAAAATTGTTCCTCTGAACAAATTTCTCACACTACATAAATGTCAACGGGCTGTAATCACTGGACTTTCGCTTACAGATTCAAAAGAATCGGTGTCCAACGAGATCGCTTGACTCTGAAAATGACTGGTTGTTCATAGGGGCACGAAAGGGTAATTCTTTTAAAAGTGTGCTAAATACGGACCAGATCCCTAGGCCCCGTCGGGACTATCCTCAAACCTGCGACCGTAATGACAGAGAATCTCACCCGTATCCGTTAGCTGTTATCTCAGCTGTTATCAGCAGCTGAAAGTTGTGGGTCTGAAAGAACAATGAACAAGATGGAATGAACCACATACCACCACAGCAGTCAGTGCCATTCACTGTTTGTCCGCATTCATTTCGGCAGTTGGACCAATTAACTCAATGGCGCAGTGGCAACCAGGTCGGTAACACAGTCAACAATGACTCAACAACGAATTGACTAGTCCTTCGTGAATTGGTGCTTACTGCAAGCCTGTTCGTGATCCCCCTATAGAGAGGATTCCCCGCACGACAGAACGATTTTGGTCGGTACCTCAAGGTCTCGTCTAACCCTGAATCAGTGCATTCGATCTCTTGCGCTGCTAATTTTGAAACTATGCAGCTGCGGCGACCTATTATCAGGTGGACGCTATGACAGCTATTTTCCTTTCCTTCAGAATTTGTTTGTTTTTGAAGGTGAAAAATCGAAATCGTTCAGCTGTAGCACCATTTTGGTGCCTAACTGCCATGCCACCTGGAGGAAGCGCGAGGGCTAGATTGCCCAAGCTCAGACAGGGGAAGTCGAGAGACAGAGGTCGGGTTCGAACCACGGAACTTCCGGTTAGTAAATTCGCGCTCTACCCACTGAGACATCTCGCCCCCGTTTTCGAAGATGTGGTTAAATTACCCTGACTCCCTTTGGAATGGTACCTGTGCTACACCACTGTTATACGCTTGGGAATCTTTTCCGCAGTGTCGCATGGTGTTGCTCGCATCACTTTGGAACTACATCGGCAGCGTTCTTTTGCTGCTCTTGACTTCGATGCAGTGTGTCAAACATGACTATACAACAAACCGTTTATATGCTGCTTGACCTAGGCACCGTACTCAACGGAGTGGTTGTCGTTGGAGAATGGAAAGATCTTTGGTTCCCATAGTAAACCTCTTAAGTCGAATCGACTTGTGACTGGAGCCTTTGTATATGTGTGGATGCTAACGGAGTACTTGCGGTCCCTTGTGTAAATTCTAAGCTGGCATCTAGTACAACAAGAAAAGACCTTTTCCACATTCACTTGGCTTGACAAGTCCCCAATCTTTTTTAGACACTCGCTCATGACTTTTTCACCCACACTTCTGTATTGGTCTGTGAACCACTATGCGGCATTCACCCGAACAAAAACCACCTATCAGGAACGCTCCAAAATTGTTTTGGTTGGGTGGAAACGTCTACCGACAATAGTGTTGCTACTATCGTTTATTTTTGAAGAGCATGGTCACAGACATAGAGAGTGAATGCAAGCGATCGGTGTGGAAGGGTTACACGAGAATATTTGATAAAACGAGAGAAACGTCTCATTCAAAGTCACGCCACCAACGGTTCCAGTCAGACAAGAATGTTTGGTATGGAAATTATTCTTAATAATACGGTGAAAAGCTACAGTTATTGAGGTGGTACTTTTAAGCCCTGCGAAATAAAAACACCACGTATTGATCAAGGTAGTCAGTTTCCACATGAAGACAAGTGCATCTGAAAGGCCGTCACCTCACGAACAGTATCTTGGCTGTCAACTATTGTACGTGAGCTCGTTCAAGAAGATATTCATCAAGAATGTCATTGCCGAATCCGACAACTTGCTTGTTCCCACTGAAAGAAAGTTTCCCCATGTCAGAGCGGCATTACTATGTCAAGGATTAGCCGACAGAACCAGAGAAGACCGTTCTCGGCAGCCTGCACACACACATACACACATTGATCCACGAGAACGTCATAACCCACTCGTCGCGTTTGCTCGTGATTACCACGTTTAACACTCCTCCTCTTGGGCGCAAGTTCGCCCCCGTCGTCAGCATGGCTGGCTGATCAACACACAGATCTTTCCTATTCGCCAAGCGTGGTGTAAGCGATACAAACTTCTAATTTCAGCAAGGTTAAAAATCAGCTATCGCTTGCAGGTTGAGAGTGCCAGTTGTCAACTTCGGTTGGTGTGAGGATCAGGAAATGGAAGGGTTCTTATAGTCGATTTCCAGGGATTTTTTGCAGAGCTTCATGAACCGATTCTAATGGTTTATCGCCCTGGGCTCGTTATAACGGTTCCAGTATCCCCCAGCATAGCAAGTGTCTTAAAATCATTTCGGGACAGATGGCTCAGTTAAACTATTTTCTTAACTTATCGGAATATACGGGTGTAAACCCACTCCCATCGCCTGGTTCATTAGCGGGGTTACCCCTGCTGAACCTCTTCGTTTTGTTTCTGAATGTCATTTAACAAAACCGCATTTTTGCTAGATGGTCTTGTGCTAACTGAACTCGATAGTATCGAGGCTCCCGAGCATACCCGATCAGCAATCCGGGCTAGGTCTTTCAAGATGATGCAAACGTTTATGGGTGGATCTGGAGCCTTGGAGTCTGTTGTTGATCGCAAGCTTTGGTGGTGAATTTTCATTCAGATTTAACAAAGCACCTACCAACCTAAACACAACAAACTTCGCAGAGGGTTGCTCCTCGACAGCGCACAACCGACTACACTCTTTTTTGGGCTCATCAGGTGGGCGCAGTCCCCGTGTTTCTATCAAACTTTTGTTCTACTTGAACCCGAATTGGAGGGATTTCGACGAAAACTCTCTGTTGCAAATGGGATTATTTGTCGATACCTTCCAACCTGATCACCACCATCTCCAGATGGTCCGTGATCTCACTCATACACAATACAGTCATCCAGTCTTTCAGAAACTTGAAGGCTTCTGCAATACTGAAGCTCGATTAGTCAACCTACCTATCCCCCGAACATAAGCTATGTCACAGCAATCTTGATATACCGATTAAAACGGTCTTTTGGGGGAGTCACGCCCCGCCGTGTCGTGCCGTGGGGGGGGGGGGGGGGGGTGGAGACTGTGGCACCAAGATCTGATTCACTGTATAATCCAGGGAAGTAACCTCTCTAGGATTCTACTGAATTGCCCATGTGTGAGGAGCTTGATGAAATGGAGGGTGCATGGTTGTTCGAATTTTCAAAGTACCGCACCGGCTGATGTGTGATCCACGTTTTCCGTTCTTTTCCTCACGTGGAGATGGGCCAGTCGTCGAAACTTGAAACTCATACCAATGCCTTGGGGGCGAAATGGTACAAGTGGTCAGAGCGCGAATTTACTGACTGGAAGGTCCGTGGTTCGAACCCGACCTCTGCCTCTTGACTTCCCCTGTTTGGGCTTGGGCCACCTGGCAGTATCCCAGCCCTCGGGTGGCATGGCAGCTAGGCACCGAAAGGGTGCTACAGCTGAACGATACCAATGCCTTAGAATTTCCCATAAGAGATCGTATTCTGGGACTCCCAACAGTGACCTTAAGGAACTTGGCTTCAAAGTGATTTGGTACAGGAGCGTATGGAAACCGGGTTCGCGAGTTTTGCCTCCTGGAGTAAAATTAGCATCCGGGAGACATACGCAGTGGTCTTTACCTGGAGTTGGGTGGGGAGGGGGGCGGGATAATTTCCCAGACGGTGTTGATTCCAAGCCAACTGCCTGAGGATTGTCTTATTTGGACGATTACTGTACGAATTTTAAATGCGAAAGTTGACTACAGCTTGACCGGTTGAAGCTCAGACATCTTCAATTACTCGCTGTAAACTTGCTCGTCGGAGGTGCCTAGGTTGGAAGAAATTGCTGAATAACTTCTCTTGTACTTTTTGGTTTCTCATCTGCCCATCATTATCACCGTGATTATGTGCTGTATTCTCCCCCATGCAGTTCACTGCTATGGTTGATCGATTTACCGTGGATGGTGAACCACTTGCAAAACTGGAGGCTACCTTTAATGACCAAGCCTACTCTGATTACTACGTCGTCTTTCTACGGTATGTTTTCCGAACAGTTTGTCATTAAGCATGGTTCCTGTCTATTCTCTTGTTCCACTTGTGCATCCTGCGAGAAGTCAGTTACCAAGGCTCCTTGTTCATCCCTCTTTGTTTCTTCGCTATCTAGCGCCAAGGTTGGATGTATACTGTCAGTAGCCTGATGCACTGACCACCCAGAAACCTCGCGTTGATGCGAATCAGGTTGGGTTACTTGTCTACTGCACTGAATTCCTGTTGTTGTAACCTCAATATGTACTTCTGTCTTTGATGCACACCAAAGCTGGTCACGGGCTAGGCCACTATGCCTTTTCTTGACATCAAATCCCAGCAAAGCAGAATACAGCAACCTGCACAGCCGAGCGTCAAGACCGTGTTTTTTCACGCCCCGTGCGAATCCCCATGGAAATGTGCTCCGATGGTGCACAATTTTTTTCACGAGTCATGTAGGTGTTCAGGTAGGTCAGTTCAGCAGCGCGGTATCGGAATATCCAGGCTCACGTCGTCTGATTGCTTCCAGAATCTATCTATTAAGGTAGTTCTGACGATGTACCGTGCGGCTGACTACTACATATTGCTCTGCACGATCAGATAACTTGCCGTCCTATGGTCTTAACTTGAGAGGCAGCATGGAAGCATTTGATGGGACAGTTTTCTGAAAAAAATCTTACAAGGACGCAGTAGGCCTTCGGCGAATAGCGCTGATAACGTAAGCAGCCAGGTATCTGTCAAAACCAATCTATGAGCGTTCAGCCCACTGGTCAAGCATTTTGCAAAAACTAGTATGGATATCCGAATTAAAAAAGAATCATCCTCAGAGAATCTGCTTTTTCTTACTTCGTTCTTTTTTGCCCGTGCACTAACGCTACAGATAAGGGGTGTAAGGTGTGTCTGCCTTGGTTGTACAAACTGCTCACTGATTCTTGCTTATAGTCAGTTTGAGTGAGCTGAAAGCGTCAATGCCTGCCTGCCTGCCTGCTCTGGTCATAATCTTTCGTGTGAAACCTCTTGCCGCCTTTTGCAATGCAAATGGGGACCGAAATGTGGACATCTCATCATCTGTGTAATCACAGTTTGCTCGAGTTCACTGCATAGCCGATTCGTCATACAGTTTTCCAGTGGGCATGATGTCCAGGTCGACCGGTTCTCAAGTGGCGAACGTGCTCTGTTTTCACGCGTGGAATCCTTCTTCCTTGATTTATCAGCTTCCAAGTGATGCGCCTGGAATCACATTTCAGTGGTCATTTACTGATCTCAAAAGAAGGTTTCAATCGCTTGCTTGGTCACCCAGCACAATATGTTCTCTAATATTTTGCTTTCGTCCATCATATCTTCCCACGAACATAAACGACTTTTCATGTTTTTATCTCTGTTTCGTTTCCACCCACACTGTTTAAAGTCTTCTGGTCTCAGCTTATATGCAAAAGAATGCCCCATTCTACGCAGACTTCATTGATGAGGGACGAACAATTAGTCAATTCTGTGAAACGGTGAGTTGTGATCTCCACTTTCTGACTTGTTCCTTATCCTCTTGTTCGGACGACCTCCGGAGGAATAGATTTCGCTTTGTTCATTACTCGTACAATGACTGAATAGCGATCATTTTCAACTTTATGACTGGCATCTGGACATTTTCCCAACGATTTCCTCAAAGATCGAAAACGCAGTTTCTTTTACACATTCAACACCGCACCGATTCGTGTGTTTTAAACCCAGTAGTGATGGGGTCTGTGCTCAACTCGCGTTACCTCGCGAGGCATTTATCGATAGAAGGGCTGTTCAGTTGTTACGGTTCATCTGCCGTACTGTACACCCGTGTCATTACATTCGTTTAGGCAGTAGTAGAAATAATACTTCCTTCTTGTTCTTACTGATCGTACACTCCTGTATCTTGCAGTAAGTTGGTTTGTCTGTGACGGCCCGTAACCGTCATGTTTATTTAGTGAGACTTTCCGTGTTTCACGGTACAAGATACGTGTGCATCATCGAGGCGAATTAGGCGACCAGGACATCGACGGATCTATCCATCTGCATTCACCTGATGAGTACAAATCTGTGCGAAATACCACATCATTACTGGTCACATCTTCGGATCTGACAAGTCTACCCGGAGAAACACGAGACTTCCTTTGTGCAACACATTTAGTTGAAGAAGAACATCATAAACGACCAATTCACCTGAGTCCTTGACTGTCGAAAGGTTTTTAGCAGCCCTACAAGTAATGTTCTGTCAAGAAAATATGCCATCCCGACATCATTTATATAATATCTTGATAGAAAACAAAACGTGTCTCAATGCGATCTTTAAGAAGACTCGGTCAATGATCCAGACAGGGGAACAGAATCGCCAGCTCCGGTTAGCTGTTCTTCATGAGAGTCAACCGTTAGTAAGCAAGTAAACAGTACGCAACGTTAAGTGGACTTCGAAGAGACTGATCGCGCAGTGTTCTGCGCAACGAATAAGTGAACTATCTTCGGTTGATCGGGATTTTCACACTTTGTATGGTTGAATAGTACTATGCACAGAGTCAGATTTTTCGATTCTCGAACATTAGGATTGCCCAGTCAACCGAGACAAAGAGGTCCGGGTCTGGTGATGCTGGCCCACTATCTAAAAGGAACAAATTGCGTTGGCAGGATGCATGTGTGATAGAGTTGCATCGTCATCATCATCATCATCATCATCATCAATCATCGACAGCATGACATCAGTATTCCACATCGATGCTTCACTGCCGTCCAACCATGATTTATTTGAAAANACCATGCATGATTTATTTGAAAACCTTATTGTGAAGAAAAGAACAAAGGTTCGACGGGTAGAAAGAAAGAAAGCGTTCAGCTGTAGCACCCTTCCGGTGCCTAGCTGCCATGCCATCCGAATGAAGCGCGAGGGCTGGGATACTGCCAGGTTGCCCAAGCCTAGACAGGGGAAGTCGAGTGGCGGAGGTCGGATTCGAATCACGGACCTTCCTGTCAGCAAATTTGCGCTCTAACCATTTGGGCCATCTCGCCCCTTCGACGGGTAAGGGACAGGTCGATGACTGTTTGGCACCCATCATCTGCCTACGGCTGTTTGTGCATCATTTCAACCGATGGAACATCACTGCCCGTTAGAGAAGCCTCTGTGATGTAAAAAAAATCAGTCATTCCAAAATCATTCGAGTAAACTTGTATTGAGCCACACACGTCAAGTAGCAAAACGTAGTCAAGATGGAAGCGTCCACGTGAGTTCAGTCGCCCCAATGTTAACGAAACCCAGGCGAAGGTTGAGACGTAACCCTCAGCACATGGAATTTCCATGCTTCGACAGTTCTAGTCAGTAAGATTACAAGCCGTTTCGCTCATCTCTTTCAGGAAGTCGAGCCAATGACTCGCGAATGTGATAATATCCACGTGGCCGCTCTGGCTCTGGCGGTCGGTATCCCCATTGCGATCGAGAATTGCCAACAATCAGGCGAATTGACACGGATCGTTTTCCCGGCTCGAGTGGATGGTGGGGAGGATGCAAACACAGGCTCGGACAAGCTCCCGTCGGGCGAGCCTACATCCGCAACCCAGCCTCCTGTCACCTTGTTGTATCGCCCCGGGCATTATGACATACTGTATGCTGGTTAATCAAACATGCCTGTTCTGTGTGGACTCCATCCACATCCATCAACATACTTTGATAGTTCATCGCACACAACTGTATGTGTAAATATGATTGCCTGCTGTTTGTTTGTTTATGAATTTGCTTCTGAGTTTAGGTATTTGCAGAACGAATAATGATGATTAATGGTCTGTTGCCTGACCACATTCTGTTCTCACTCGCTGGACTAAATGCACACCTGGGATTGTTACTGACGATATCCAGGAGCAGTCACTGGCTGTGAGACACTAGCGATATACCTATAGGCGATTGAAGTGTCGTGTCGATGGACAGTGACCAATTGTTTTTCCACTCATAACTCGTCCGTACGACTACCGCGGTAAACTACATCCCAAGTGAGTGTGTGTGTGGGGGGGGGGAGTAAGATCACGTACCATTCCAAGCCTGTGCGACGTGCATTCGAAAAATCCATATGCTACTTTATTAGACCCAAGTAGCTCAACTGTAAGAAAGTCTCGGCAACACAGACCATGGCCGAGGGGCATTCTTCTCAGGGAACAGATTTGTGGTACCCGACCGTATTTCTTGGTGATCCGTACGTATGATATCAAGAATTTAAAATGTGATTATTCCTGAAGACTGTTCATCAACGCTTCTGGTCCCGAATGTGAATTTGAGATGTATGGTTGGAAGTGATTTCTTAATTCAGCCGGACGGGTGATCCTTAAAAGGAAATCCTACTGTTTCAGAGTAAACAAGACGCCAGCAGGTTTCTTACCAGTGCATGTATGTTTGGTTTTGATTTCAAGAGATTTATAACGAAAGCCCACCACGGAGTTCGTTCCGGTCGGGGGAAGGCAGCATATTGGCTCGTCAGTAACAAGCGAGAAAACGAATTGTCTACAGTCTCTGAAGAAGGGGGCTTGATCACGTGGTTACACAATGATCATTTGTTGAGGGAAAACAGCATGTGTACTGAGCCCGAGGTAAAATTATGGTTTCATCGAAATAGCGAGTAATGATGGATCACCATATGCACCACTTCCTTGCGTGGTTGCAGTGCAGCTCGAGGGATGCACAGCGGGACTGAGATATTA